CCCGTCGTCGGGGGCGTGGTCCTCCGGGCGTCGCTCGCGGCTCGGGCCGTCCAGACCTGCGTGTTGACGTACAGGTGGTCCTCGTAGTCGTCGGGGGCCCGGGCGTCCGCCTGCACGTAGCCGTCCCCTGGCGGGGCTGGCGCTGAGGAGCGGGAGGCGCTGGGGGTCAGCCGGGGAGCCCAGGGGAGGGGCCCTGGAGGGGAGCCCCGCCCACGCCCGGCTCCCCGCCCACCTCCCCGACCGAAGGAAGCCACGCCCTTTCCGCGCGGCGCCCTCAGGGGTGTAAAACCCCATAAAGGCCCAGCCGGCGGCCGTTGGGGCGCGGAGGTCCACAGCGAGGGAAGGGGCAGCTGCCCCCCAGCCCTCCACCGTCCCTCTGCCAGGCAGGAAAGTGGCCCTGGGACCAGAGCTCCCAGTTTGAAGAGAAGCCAGAAACCCGATGTTTACGTTAAATCTCCGCATTTAAAAAATAGTAACAATAGAACTCTGTCCTCCCTGCAGTTATGTTATCAACATGACACATAGGTCATTGGTTTGCTTGTGCTCTGTTTTAGCGTTTGCGCACTCTTCTTTCTTTCTTTTAACTTTGTTTTTGAACGGGTAAAGCATTTACATGGTTCAAAGGCCAGAACTCCACTACCAGGTGCCCGTGGAGGGTCCCATTCGGATTTTGCTGGGTCAAGACCCCTGTCCAGCCCTGTTCCCAAGGCCTCACCCACGCTGTGTTATCCTACTGTTGGACTTCCGCTCACCTGGTGGGTGAGAAATGGCACCCTGGGGAACTAAATTTCCATTTCTCTTATTTGGGGGAGGGAGGGTTATTAGGTTTATTCATTTATTTATTTGTAATGGAGGTACTAGGGATTGAACTCAGGGCCTCATGCATGCTAGGCATGCACTTTACCACTGAGATACACCCTCCCCCAACTCCATTTCTCTTATTCTGAGCAAGGTTGAGCATCTTATCCTATTTTTTCCTTAGAACTGTCCATCCACTTCTAAAGGCCTCCATTTTTACTCTCTGCAAGGGAAATAATGATTTTTTAATATACTGCATGGCCAAATCCAGCACAAGGCCCTGAAGCTGTAATGTCTCTTCATACCAATTGTATCATTAACCTTCACAGGCATCTGGGCTCACATGCCAACTCCACTCTCTGTGCCCGTTTCCTCCTCTACAAAATAGGGGTAGCATCTTTATAAGTAGAGTAGGGGTGAAGATTAAAACCTCAAGCAACAGTTATGGTTCAATATGAATGCCAATGCTGTTCAGGCGCTGGGTGGTCAGTGGGGACAGACGGACCTCAGCCGAGGCTTCCCAGTCTGCACAGAGGAAGCACAAATCCACCCCCTCACCCCACCCCACCCCACCCCCACCTCTTAAAGTCAAGGTAGGGTGAGAGGGAGGAAACAGGGTTGCATGGAGGAAACTGGAGATCGTCATTCTAAGTGAAGCCAGAAAGAGAAAGAAAAATACTGTATGATAGCACTTATATGTGGAATATAAAAGAAAAAGAATGAACTTACTCACAAAACAGAAACAGACTCACAGACCTAGAAAACAGACTTATGGTCACCAGAGGGGAAAGGAGGTGGGAATAATAAACTGGGAGCTCAAGATTTGTAGATACTAACTACTATATAAAAAAATAGATACACAACAAGTTTCTACTGTATAGCACAGAGAACTATATTCAATATTTTGTAGTAATCTATAATAAAAAAGAATATGAAAGGGAATATTCATATGTATATGTATGAAACATTACGCTATAAACCAGAAATTGACACAACATTGTAAACTGACTATACTTCAGTTTTTAAAAATGGAAAAAAAGCAATCAAGCAAGAAAGAAACCTGGGTTGCAGGAGTCCAGAGAGAGAAAATTCCTGGGCATTGGAGCTGGGGCATTGATGTATCAGTAGGAGTTCTTGGTCAGAGAATTGGGAAAGGCATGACAAGAACTGATGACATCATGTGCTAAGCCTCAGGGGTAGAAAATTATAGTGAGCCCTGGGAGTCAGGGGTGAGCAGCCAGTGTCCCAGAGAAACAGTAGACTAGGGCCACATTAGAGCTGGGCACCTACTGGGTGCCCAATGCCATGAGCGTTCTTTAACTGCAGGCACTGAGAGCCAGTGAGAGTTCTGATGCTCGGCAGTGAAACGCCCAGATTATTTGGGAAGACCTAAAAAAAGCTTAACACAGATGTTTGCAAGGCTGAGAGGAAACAGGCAGCCACAGCAGGGCTGGCAGCCAAACAAACCACCCAGCCACATTGGGGAGCAGTTTGGCTGCTTCCCCTACTGTGATTAAGGTGCACACTCTGCTCCACAGCTCAGTGTCCACAGGAGGGACACACAGGGGGCATCAGAGGGTATCTGCCGCCGTGTACATGAGTGGAAGCCATAAAAAGGGGGCCACATAGGAAGCAAACTCCAGGGACCGGGGAGCAGCACACAGCTGTGCAGAGGATGCGCTGATGGAGCCAGAGCCCCAGAGGGGACCGACGGTGCCTGCAGCCTGCCTCCAGGGGCCTCACTTCTTTGCGTGCCTGTTCCTGCAAAGTCTGAAAGGAGACACAAAAGTGCCTGGAGCGGGTGGTGAATTTGGAGCTGGGGCAAAGGAGAATTTAGCCATCTCTGTCATTTTAAATATTGTAATAGAATAGGCCGAAAACCCAATCATTTTGTTAAAAGCTCAAATTAGCTGGTGGGATGTAAATTGAGAGGGTAGCTGTGTGATTTCTATGAAATGGGGCACCAGCTGCTCTCCTGGGGATGGACTCTATTAAGACTCGTGAACACGGCTGAAGGGTGGACACCCACGGCCATTCCTCGCACCACTGCCATCACCGCAAACCCATGGAAAATACCCAGATGCCTGTGAGTAAGGGGCAGGCAAAATCAACAACATCCTTCACATGGTGGAGTACTACACTGTGGTGAAGAAGAATGGTGGTGGCTGCTGTGCAGGGGTGTGGGGATAATTCCAAGATGGATTGTTACCAGGGGAAAAGCAAGGTGGAAGCATGGATACACCACCATCTAAAAAACAGAGAAAGCAGACACTACCAAAAAATAAAATTACAGGCTAATATCTTTGATGACTATAGATGCAAAAATTCTCAACAAAATATTAGCAAACCGAATCCAATAACACCTCAAAAAGATTGTACACTATAATCAAGCTGGATTCATCCCAGGGTCACAAGGATGGTTCAACATATGCAAATCAATCAATGTAATACACCACATCCATGAAAGAAAGGACAAAAATCACATGATCATCTCCATAGATGCAAAAAAGCATTTGATAAAATTCAACACCCATTTATGATAAAAACTCTTACCAAAGTGGGTATAGAAGGGACATATCTTAACATACTAAAACCTGTTTATGACAGACCTACAGCCAACATAATACTCAACGGTGAAAAGTTGAAAGCCTTCCCCCTAACATCTGGAACAAGACAAGGACGGCCACTCTCACCACTTCTAGTCAAGACAGTATTGGAAGTCCTGGCCACAGCAACCCGACAAGAGGAAGAAAGAGAAGGGGTCCAAACTGGAAGGGAAGAGGTAAAACTGTCCCTATATGCAGATGACATGATACTATAAACAGAAAGCCCTGAAGGTGCCACGCAAAAATGACTAGAGCTAATAGAAGAATTCAGCAAGGCAGCAGGACACAAGATTAACATAAAAAACAGGGAAAGCAGTATCTGCTTGAGTTGACTTGAATATACATGCAAAATTCTGGAAAAGTAATGGGAACCTCAACAGTGGTCACCTGATTAGGGAGGTGGATAAAGCTAATAGGGGCAGGGTGACTGCTTGTCACTGAGTAGCTTTTCATACGCTGGCGTTCTGAACCATGTGATGCAGTATCAATGCCCAAAATGCAAGGTAACCAGTGTGCACAGAGGAAACAAAAAGCAGATGCTGTCAAATCTCACAAGAGCTCGGGGAGTAAGCACAACTCGTCAGTGAAAGCACAGTGACCACGGTGACACGAAGGGGAGAAGCATATGAAGGGTGGTGGGGACTGGGGTGGGGGCTGGGCACCCGGCAGTCCAGAGAGTGGCCCACAGGTACCTGAGGGGCCCATGTCCCACTGCAGGCCGCGGGTGTCTCTTCGAGCAGGAGGTGCTGCCTGAAAAAAAGAGCAAGGGGTCCTCCTGCTGTGATTTTCAAGCACAGCCCCCCAATCTCCCACCCAACCCTCCCCAGTGGCCCGTAGCACCCCTCTTCCCAGCACAGCCCCCCAATCTCCCACCCAACCCTCCCCAGTGGCCCGTAGCACCCCTCTTCCCAGCACAGCCCCCCAATCTCCCACCCAACCCTCCCCAGTGGCCCGTAGCACCCCTCTTCCCAGCACAGCCCCCAGTCTCCCACCCAATCCTCTTGTAAGTCAGATGTGAAGCCCAGCTCTGAACCCGTCCCCCACACCCGGGTCTCAAACTGTCCGCACGGCCACCGCACAGCTCTGCTGCAGCCTCACTGGCCTTCTCCACTCAGAAGGCCTGCCCCTTGGCACAGGCTGCTCCCTGCTCCTGGGTGTCTTTCTCTGCACTGCTCTCCTGGGCAACTCCTATTCACCCAGCAGAGCCCAGCCCAAAGTGTGCCCTCAGGAGGGTCCTCCTGACCATGGCCAAAGTCGGCCTCCTGTCGTACATTCTCCACTTTACTCGTCCATCCCCTGAGGCCCACAGAGGCTGACCTGGCCGAGGGCTCCAGGGGTCCCGAGCGGGCAGGGCTGTGTGAGGGCGAGCCTGGAGTCCACCAGACCGCCCAGGGGCGGCTCCTTCCCCGGGATGCTGTTGTAGTAGTTGTGTTCCAGCTCCTCCTCATCCCCCCAGGCCGAATCCTCCAGCCCGGTCAGCCTGCAGACAGGCAGGGGCCCCAACATGCGATGGGAGTGGGAGAAAGAGGGGGGCTCCCAAGAGGGCACCAAGGCTCCAGGCTGAACTCTGCATGGTGGAGGAGGGGGGCACAAGCCAGGTCCAGGGACCCTGAACCCGCTCCTGCCATCTGAGCCTTGGACCTGGACCTGGGTGACCTTTTCTGTCTGTCAGAGGGGGTACTGCACACGTCTGGGCTAAACTGCCACAGGTTCTCAGAGGACAGGTCCTCAGCGGGGCGAGTCCTCGCACTGTCTGCCTGTGCGGCGCTGCTCAAGTGCACAGTGGGCTTCTGACCAATCCAGTTCTTCACCACTTACGCTAACACGCTCCTGTCTGCTCAGATACTCAAATAGCCAACCACAGGCCACCGCCCGGGTCTGCCCCCTCCGGAGCTGAGCAGGGCCTCCACACTTCTAAGCCTCAGAATAGTAAATGCTTAAGAAAGCACTCAGAGAACAGTTGATGACATGTCAGAGATGAAATTCAAATTCTGGTGTCTGTAAACAGCAGGCTGTTGGCACACAGCCCTCAGACATGATCGCACACCCAGGTGGGCTGCTTGTGGCTGCAGCCAAGTGCCCTCTGCAGAAGTGCTGGCCGCCAAGGAGACTCGTCAGGACCCCAGGACTGCGGCCCACTGGCTCCCGAGACCTCACCTGGCCAGGAGCGGGATGTTTTCATCCCGATTTCACAGAGGAAGAAATGGGTCCAGGGGCTGAGCCGCGAGCCACGATGGGACTCAGAGCGAGGAAGGCACAAGGACCAAGCCCAGGGGGAGGGGAGGATAGGGCAGGGGAGCCATACCTTTCCGGGGGTAAGACCACCTTGGGGGGGCTATGCAGGTACTGTTTGAAGCGTAGCTCGAAGGCTTGCCCCACGGTGCTGATGACGCTCTGGGCCAGGCCCTCGCAGCACTCCAGGATGTGGCAGGCTGGGGGTCGTGATCCGGCATCAGCGGGCCGCCCCAGCCCCTGGGCCCCGACCCTGGCCCCCCCCACCCCCACCCCACCCCCGCTGCAGCCTCACCTCTCTGGTTGATGGGGTCCTTGGCCACATAGGCCACGTAATCCGCCATGTCCTGGGGAGACAGGGCAGCAGGGGAGGGTTCCCAGCACCCTCCTCCAGCACCGCAGGGCTGGGGTCTCAGGGCTGCAGGGACCAGAGGGGCCAGAGGCCCACCCCTAGTCCCTGGCCTTACCGTGTCGCCACCCGATGCGAAGGAGATGGACTGCATGTGGTGGTTGGCGATGATCTGTCCGGAGAGAGACCACCCGTCACAGGGCTGCCGTTTCAAGGTCGTGGTGGGTGGGGAGCGGGGGGTCCCAGCTAGCATGAGACCAAGTCCACAGGGAGGGACCAGAAGGACAGGGTTGTGGGGATGGACACGTCCCCTCGACTGGACTCCAGGATGACCCGGAGTCCAGCCGGACATGGAGCCCTGCAGCCAGGACAGGACGCAGAGACCACGTGTGTGGGAGGACAAGCCCGCCCCTCCCTGGCAGACACCCTCACATGTGAACACATGTGACGCAGAAAGAAACGCACTCGTGCCAAGATCCTCACACAAACCACACTCCGGCACACGTGCACAGACGCACCTGGATTTGCAGACACGCAGCGTCCCACACACAGATTCCACACACCAGCGCCAGAGACACAATCACTCACACATACTCAAGCCCTTCACCCCCGACACGTCAGCACTGGCCCTCACACCCTCCCACACAGACACCCAGGCGTAGCACTGCCAGACACAGTCACACACTCGCACTCAGACCCACGCCCCACGCAGCCATGCAGGCATCGAGGAAGCTCGAGCAAGATGCAGCAGAGGCCCCTGACTGCACTATCAACCCTGGCAGCGCCACCTGTATGCTCATTTGCACGCTTATTTTCATGCTCACTTACATCCGTTCACTCATTTGCATGGTCATTTGCATTCACTTGCTCATTTTGCATGCTTGTTTGCATCCATTTGCCCACTCACATGCTCATTAGCATCTATTGGCTCGTTTGCATGCTCATTTACATTCATTTGCTCATTTGCATGCTCATTAGCATCCATTTGCCGCTGCCCATTGCTGTCCTGCGTGGTTGTGTCCCTCTGAGACCCAGTGAGCAGCACAGATGGCCGAGCAGGGCTGAGCCCATGCACCAGGCACCTCCCCCAGCCGGACACCTGCCCAGGAAGGGCCCCACTGGTATCCTGGTCTGCAGACAGGCAGAGTCCATGCAGAGGTGGGGGGGGTGCATGAACGTGCTGGCAGCTCCCCTCCGCACCCACACTGCTTCCTCCCCAGGGCTGGTCCAAGCTCTCCTCCCTGGGGCCCTGGCTCCAGCTCCCCCCACCACCCCGATCTCGTGCACCCCCTACAGCCCACAGCCAGAGGTTAACGCTCACACCAGACCACAGTCTTCCTGCTCCAGACTTACCAGGATCGCAGCGTTCTCTGGAAGAATCCCAGTTCCTCACCATGACCCTTGCTAACCTGTCCAGCTCCACCTCCCCAGAGGGTGACCTCTGCTCAGATGTCCTCTCCGCACCTCCTCACTCAGCACCAGTGTCACCAGCTCAAGAAGCCCTCCAGGACACCCAGGCTGGGTCCCAGTACCTCATGCTTACTGCCCTGGCCTGGCCTCACAATCCCACTTGGAATTTGAGGTTAGTCCCTCATTTCTGCAGTTTTATTGTGGTCATTTGTTTCCACCAGAGATTCCAAGCCTCCTTGGCACCGCAGACATTGGGGCCAAGTCCTGGGCACTGTGGGGTGTGCCATAGCCCCCCGGCCCCTGTCCACTCGATGCCAGGAGCCCCCCCCCCAGTGTGACACCTGTGGGCCCTGGCCCAGGGTGGGGCCCGGCACGTGTCCAGGTGAACAGTTCACACCAACACCTGCGTATGAGTCCACAGACCTGGCCCGTGAGGGCTGGCGGAGGCTGAGGCTGGGGCAGGCGGCACTCACCTGGCGCGTGGCCGGCACCGAGAGGTTGAGGCCATCGATGGAGATGCTGACTGCAATGCTCATTCCTGCGAAGCGCAGGTTGCTCTTACCCAGGATGGAGGCCAGCGCCTTGTTGGGGGCCTGAGAATGGGGGCAGAGGGCACGAGGGAGCTGCAGGGGGCAGCCTGGGCACCAGGGAGGCTAACACCTGGGGATCTTGAGCCCCTCGCCCACCTTCTTCTTCCAGGAACCCCTGACGCCAGGCACAGCCTCATGGAGCCGGGTGATGGCTTCCCTGTGGGCGGAGGCAGGAAGGAGGCTTAGAGAGCTTGCAGGGGAGGGACAGGAGTTCAGACAAGGGTGGGGGTCAGAGGGAGATGGGCTGAGGAAGGGGTGCAGTGGATCCCGGGATGGGGAGGGGCCGAGAGGACGCTGGGTACCTGGAAGCATGGAATGGGGGTTCCCGGGGCTCCCCGCCCCCTGCCCCACATGCACCTGGCCAGTGCCCCTGCCCTCAGCTCTGACCAGCGGATCCCCAAGCCACAGCCTGACCTGAAGTCACAGGGGTCAGATTCAGCTAACACAGCCCTCGACCCTGAACCCCAAGCTCTGCATGGCCACAGGCTGGTCAAGATTCCCATTCGTGGCATGAGAGGATGACCTCTGCTTTGGGCCCCCAAGACAATGGCCAGGGAACTGACCCCCCGACAGCAGGGGTGAGACCTCTGCAAAACCACTAATCTCCGAGAAGGGACAGGGACTTGAAGGTCAGATGCACATACAACAAGCTCTCAGCAATGCTGGTGTCTCGAGGAGAAACTAAGCCTTCACACTCTGCAGAGGGGAAGGTAAACGGTGCAGTAGCTCCTCAAAAAGTAATGCACGGGACCGGCACTCGGCCCAGCAGCCCACTCCCAGTGCACACCCTGGAGACCAGAAAACACGCTCCACCCAGAGCCTGCACACGCTCACCCACAGCAGCATGACTCGCCAAAGGGTAGACACCACCCAAATGCCCATCAAGTGAGGATGGATAAACAATGTGTCCCTCCACACACCGAATGTCACTCAGCCGTGACCAGGAGAGCAGCACTGACCCTCGCTGCCACATGGACAGACCCTGAGAACACGACGCTCAGTGAGAGAAGCAGACACAGAAGGACACACAGTGTGAGTCCATGGATGCGAGACGTCCGGAACAGGCCAGTCCCCAGACACAGGGAGGGGCTCCTGGCTGTCAGGGGCTGGGGAAGGGGTCGGGGTTATGCTAATGGGGACGGGGCTTCCTTTAGGGGAGGTCAGACTGTTCTGGAATTAGGTAGAAGTGATGTTTGCATAGCTCTGCAAAGATAGCAAAAACATCAAATTGTACGCTTTGAATGGTGAATTGTTTGATATGTGAATTTTGTCTCAGTAGAGATTTTTTTCTGTCTATGGCGAAGGGACTAAGTATTTCCGACGTGCAAGAACATGTGGGTCCCTTCTGCCCAAGCCTGGCTGGACCACAGACTCTTGACTCGGGTCCAGGCAGCTCAGAGCATCAGGAGATCGACGTGCCTTCTCTGCAGCAGACGGGCTCCCAGCCCCTCCCAGCCCTGACCTGAGTCACCACCTGAGTCGGCCAGACCCTGCCAGTCCCACGACGTGCTGGGGTGTCTTCAGCACCCCTCGTGGGACCCACAAGCTCTGGGAGGGATGGGCTGTCATCTCCACGTTACAGAGAGAATACGGGGTCTGGAGAGCATGGGTGACCAGCGGGCGGTGACAGAGCTGGGACTCAGCCATGCTGGCCCTGCCCAAGACCATTCTAACCCTGCGCAGCTCTGCTCCCTGATTCGGGGAGGGAGCTGCCGCTAAGGCTGCCACCTTCGACTCCAGCACAGGCTGCTACCCAGCAAAGCCATACAGCAGTTCTCTCAGCAGGCAGAGTGGAGATGCCCGGCCCCCCAACAGCCCGGTCTCGGAGGCTCACCTGGTGACCTGGGTGCGAGTGCTGAAGTCCAGGGAGCGCATGGAGCGGAGGACTTCGATGCAGCCCATGTACTGAGGGAAGAGAGAACAGGGTCAGCCCAGCAGCACCCTCCTGGGGACTGACTGTTGAACCCATGTCCTCCCTCTGGCGACATCTTCACCCTCCTCTCCAGCCATAAACAGCTTGAGCCCTTGTCTCTGTGCTCACAACCCCACCCTTGTGGCCCCAGGGCCTTACTACCTGCCATCTGCGTGCTGTTCCCTTCCCCGACCTATCTGTAGACCGGTTCCCTCCCCATCTCCAGGCTCAGGGTCATCTCCCCTGGAGCCGCCCACCCTGACCCTAAGTAAGCTGCTCCACGGAGGCCAGTGGACTCCGCCAGGCTCAGTCCAGCCTGTCTGTTCATCCTCTTTCTGCTCCACTAGAACCTAAGCCCAGGAGGAGCAGATGGCGGTGGTCCTGCTCACTTCTGCATCCCCAGAGCCTGGTACAGGGCCTACAGGTGGATGGAGGCAGGCCGTCCGGCCCATGAAGCCCAAAGCATTGACTGTCTGACCCTTTACAGGACAAGTGTGCCGACTCCTGCCCAGACCACCACTCCACGCACGGTAATTCAGAGACTCCGAGAGAGGATGCGGGGCCGTGGGTGGGGGCAGGAGCAGCCAGTAGAGCACCGGGGCTCACGTGCTGCCAGGGCGAGACGAGGACTGGACAGTGGTCAGCAGTGCCCTCCCTCGGGGCACTCAGCTGCAGCAGGGGGCCGCCTGGTGCAGCCTGCGCGGAGGGCCCTGTGGCTGTGTCTGTCACGGGGGCCAGTGGATGAGAACCACCCAGAAAAGGCACACCCACAGAGGCAGAGATTAGGTTCACGGTTGTCACAGGCTGGGGAGGGGGCTTCCTATTGGGGTGACGGAAGGTTCTGGAACCAGAGAGAGGTGATCGCTGCACAACCTCACGTAAGAACTAAATCCCACTAAGCTGTACACTCTGAAACGGTTAGTGGTTAATTTAGTTATGTGAATTTTACCTCAGTTTTTCAAAACCAATAAACGCACAAACGCTTTGACCCTGAAACTCCACTTTTAGGACTTTGTCCCAGATACACCAGCCAGTGGGCTATCGAGGTGTGTATGAGCTGCTGTGTGCAGGGCCCACACCCCATCCTTCCCTGCAGGGCTCCACGCCCCTGGCCCCGGGGCACCTGCCACCCGCTCTGGTTCCCTATGCCCTCCCTCAGCCTGCCCCTCCCTTCCTGCTAGGACCTGCAGCACAGAAGGAATTAGCAAGAAATTGACAGCCCAAAACTCAACACATCTAGGGTTGCGAGGTCCAACACAGGCTGCCAGTTAGGTTGGGATTTCCAATCAATGATGAATATTTTCTAAGTAAAATAAAGCAGGAGATGGTGCGGGGAGGTACAGCTCAGTCACAGAGCACGTGCTTAGCACGCACGAGGTCCTGGGTTCCATCCCCAGCACCTCCACTAAAAATACATACAAAAATAAATTTGAAAAGACACATGCACCTCAATGTTCACAGCAGCACTATTTACAATAGCCAAGACATGGAAACAAACCAAATGTCCATCGACAGCTGACTGGATAAAGAAGCTGTGGTATATTTATATGGAATGGAACACTACTCAGCCACAAAAAAAGAATAAAACAATGCCATCTGCAGCAACATGGATGGACCTGGAGATTGTCATTCTAAATGAAGTGAGTCAGAAAGAGAAAGAAAAATACCATATGATATCACTTACATGTGGAATCAAAAAAAAAAGGACACAAATGAACCTATTTACAAAACAGAAACAGACGCACAGAGAACAAACTTATGGTTACCAGTGGGTAAAGAGGGCGGGAAGGGGTAAATTGGGAATTCAAAACTGCACCTCTTAAGGAGTGATGGAAGTGTCAGCTATCTTGATACTGGTGGTAGTTTCATTGGTGTATACATCTTTCAAAATTCATCAAATCGGACATCTGAAATACGTGTAGTTTACTGTACAGGAACCATACCACCATAAAGGTGTACTAAATATACATAAAACCTAATTACCTCCCCCCGAGAAAAACCTGAAAATCAAATGATGCAGGAGACATGCTTATACTGAAAATTACTTGTATTCATTGGAGCTTTAAATTTAACTGAGCAGCCTGTATTTTTGCTAAATCTAAACAAATCATGTTACTTGGAAGAGTCTGCAGCTGTGAAAAGAAACAAATTTAATGTATTTATATGAAGTTATCTCCAAAATATAGCATCAAGTGACAAGAGCAAGATGCTGACTGGAGGGCACGGTGTGTGTGTGCCTCCTGTGTGGACAAGTGGCCCAGGGAGGAGCACACGTGTGCACATGTGTGTACAGTGTGTGTGCACGTGCACGTGTGGGTGAGTAGCTTTAGCAGGACACAGAGGCTGCTCCTGGAGAGGGGAACCAGATGCCATCTGCGGCCCCTAAACACGGCCACAAGTCACCCCCTCCCCCTCCAGGCCGTGGCTTGGCCATGACACATGCAAGGCCCAAAAGGCACTTGTCGCTGGAGCTGGCTCCCTTGCTGCCCTGGGGACCCGGAACCTGCTGGGCCAGCATGCGGGATGCTGAGACATGCAGCCCACCCCCACCTCCCCAGCTGACATGGAGCCACTCTCCACGTGATCCAGAAGACCATCCAGCCCCAGTCAACCCACAGAATCACAGAAATAATAGGTGTTTGTTCTTTTCATGCCCTAGGTCGTGGGATGGTTTGTTACACAGCAAAAGTTAACCAGACAGTGACTAGGGGAAGAGAGGGAGCAAGCCAAGCAAAGGTACAGGCAAAGGGAACAGCAAGTACAGGCCAGACCTGGGACCGAGCTCCTTAGAGACAGGCTCAGTCCAGAATGGCTGGAGCAGAGAGGCAAGGGGTCGCCAGGGAGGAGAGGACGTGGGGCCCTGGTGCTGTGATGAGGGGTTGGGTTTCATTCTGAGCAACTTGGGGGGCCTGCTTGGAGCGTTTTAAGCAGGGGAGGGGGTGAACTGATCTGTCTCACCTTCACTGGAAGGATGATGGATGGATGGATGTTGGATGGATGATGGATGGATGGATGATTGATGGATGGGTGGTGGATGGATGGATGATTGATAATGGATGGATGATGGATGGATGGGTGGTGAATGGATGGATGATAGGTGGATGACTGATGGATGATGGATGGATAGGGGATGGGTGGACGGATGGACAGATGGATTGGCATGGATTATATGCCAGGTATGTGTTAGACGTGCGGAACCTCAAAGAGAATCAGCTGTGGTCCCTGCCCCCAAAGCAGACTCTCACACTGAGTGGACAGCTTTGGTGGGGTGCTGGCCGCTCAACGAATACCTTCCCTCTAGCCAAGCATGAGTCTAGGGGGGGTGTCGGTGCTGCCAGGCCACAGGGTGAGGGGTTCTAATCCACCCTAATTAGTGTGCAGCCCACTCCAGTGTGGCTGAAATCCTCCTTGTGCCCCCAGCCCCACTCTGGAGGAAGTGGAGGCATGACTCAACAGCACAGGACAGGAGATGCAACTGGGGCCCCCATCCTGGAGGGCAGAGCACAGGGACTACAACGGCAGGGCGGAGAAGCAGGTGGCTGGGGCGAACACCTGGCAGTGATGACGCTAAGCCACTTGTCACAGGACAGGTTCCAAGCACGCTGTGTACACAACCTCTTTTAACCCACTCCACCCAAACCCAGTGCTACAGCGACAGCACCACCCTCAGGAAACAAAGCCCAAGGACAGCAAGCAACCTGCTGAAAGTCACAGCCGGTAGGCAGCACAGGCAGGCTCTGAACCCGCACCCTGGGCTCCGCAAGTGGTGGGGGCCTCAGCAAACTGCGCCCTCAGGGGCCAGCGGACCCCGTGTTGCCAGAACACCCAAAATCCAGGGCTGTTCTGGGAAAGCCCCCAATTCGTAAATGATGACAAGAAATTGAATTTTTATTTTTAAATAGAAGGCAGAAAAAAAAAAAGGCAGAGGTCAAATTCAGCCCCAGGCCTACCCATGAGCATGACCTCTGACCTAGAATCCTGAACTCTCCAGAGGCCAGCCCAGAAGGGTCTGTCCACATCGCCACCCCCAGAACCTGTGAACAGGACCAGACACTGGAAGGGAGTCTCTGCAGACAGAATCGGGTCAAGGATGTCAAGATGAGGTCACCCTAGATTTCAGACAGATGACCTTACAGGAGGAAGGCAGACGGGGTCTGAGACACAGAGGCACAAGCAGACAGTGTGTGGAGCTACAAGCTGAGGGCTGTGGCCCCCAGAGGCTGGGAGAGAGCCTGGAACAGACCCTCCTTGGATTTTGGACTTCTAGCCTCCAGAACCAGGACAGAATACATTTCTGTAGGGGTTTTTTTTTCTCCCAGTATTTCTCCCTTTCTTTTAAAGTATTTTTTTATGGAGGTACTGAGGATGGAACCCTGGACCTTGTGGTGATCAACCCTTAGGCACCGGAAGGTCTGGGGGCCACGTGCTCACGACCATGGAATAGTTAATTTCTTCCATTTGGTGGTGTGTTTTAGCATCTGAAAAACTCAGGAAATCTGCGTGAGACCCTGTTCTCTGGGTCCTTCAGAGAGGGACTCCACGGAGGATCTCGGGGGTGGTCTGTCCGGGTAAGGCCCCACAGGGTCCTGCTCGGTGACAGTTTTACGATATTGAATTACTTCTCAATTTTTTTAAATGTGTATGAGGGAAAGAGAAAATTGCATATTGCTACCATAAACCTCAGGTTCGATGCCTAGCAGTGTTTCCTAATAACCAATAAATAAACATACAATTATCCAACAGAAAGCGTCCATCCGGCAGGAACTGTCCGTGAACGACTGCCGGGCACCAGGCTACCTGCAGAGTCTCAAGGCCCTCCCCCAGGCCATGAAGTTCAGGGACAGGCAGAGTTGACTGTTGGGGGCTGTAGGGGGCCAGCAGGGGGGCCTGGGCAGCCTGGGGCTGGTACTTCACCGCACGATGCTGTCCCTTGGTATCAGAAGTCTCACCAAAAAACTCCATCCCCACAGACCCATGTTAATTATGAAGGAAACAATGGGGGCCTCTACCAGGGAGAAAGGTCACCTTAA